CTTGTGGAAGTAAATGGCCAGGCCTTTCTTCTGAGGTACCTCTGAGTCCATTCAAACCTCTGACCTCTAGGTTAGCAATCTAGAATACTCATAGTTTGCAGAAATAAAGTGCTGCACAAAAGCACTTCTATAATAAGATTTTTAATCTGTAAATGATTATCATTTCACTGACTTCTTCTGCTCCTGTCTCCTACACTGGGGGCTGGAAAGAGATGGATGTCTAGCTGCCACAGGTAGGCTTGCCTCTCCTCCCTACAACTCCACTGGAGGTCTGTTGTCACCAGACATGTAGTGTCAGGTGGCTCTTCAGCCACAGAAAACAGTCACTTGTCATGCTTACAAATCAGAAAAATCCACTGGTGATAAGAGGCAGAGTCAATGCAGAGGTATTTGATTTATGTTTGGTTTGGTTTTTAACATTTAATTGTGCTTTAGGTGAAAGTTTTTATAGCAAATTCATTTCCTAATCAATAATCCATACACACAGCTTTCTATAACATTGGTTGCAACTCCCACAATGTGTCAGCACTCTCCCCAATTCCTGTGTGGGTTCCCCAGTTCTCCTCTCCCTTGTTGCTTTCTCATCTTTGGTTTGGGACAAATGTTGCCCTTTTTGTTTCATATAGTTGACAGTTGTAAGGACTGTATTATTGTTTACTGGATAAGTCTGTCCTGTCTAATAAGTGGCTGTAAGGTGGCCACTAGGAGTATCTTGATTTTCAAGTTGGAAGGTTGTCTTAGGGTAATAGTTTGGGGGGTTCCTCCAGTCTGTTTCAGGCCAGTGAGTCTAGCTGTTCTTCACTTTTGAGTTTGAATTTGCAGTTTGTTCTTCATTTTCACCCATTCTAACTGGAATGTTCTATCAGGGTTCCATTTGGCAGTGTCAGTCAGGTACCATTTAGTTCTTCTGGTCTCAGGCTAGAGCAGGCTGTGGTGCATGTGGACACTTTGTCCTTCCTTCAGTCTTCACTTTTCTTTATTCTCTTAATAGTTGCTTCTTCCATGGATGACTGCTTGCAAGCTTTTAAGACCTCGGATGTAGAACACATCTTTGTAACTCTGTTTTGCCAATTGCCCTAGCTCTCTCCAGAGACTATGGTCCTCAGCCTTTAAGTTCAGTAGTTCAGTCCCAATGTCTAAGTAGTTTCTTTTACTTTGACTCCTGTGTGCTCTGTTATGTACATAAGTATGCATACAGCATTGGCAGAAACACCCTTAACCTCATCTATGTATACATACCGGCTCATTGCCTTTAGATGTTTCTCATCTGATTAGCGTACGTGTGATCCGTGTATCTATCCACAAATTAGAGTTGTGGTGTGGTGCCATGGGATAAAGCCCTGGACTACAGGTCAGTTTGAACAATAAGTTCAGTGGTTCAAACTCACCAGCCGCTTCTTAGAAACCCTTATACAGGGTCTCTGTGAGTTGGAACTGACTTGAAGGTACTAAACAATAACAATTCACAAATTATTATTGTTGTTGTAAGATTATGTTATAGCACTTACGTTGTTGTTGTTAGTTCCGATTACTAGTGTTTCTGAAGCTGTAAATCTTTATGGTAGCAGAAAGTCTCATCTTTTTCCCATGGAGCAGCTGGTGGACTCAAACCACCAACCTTGTGGTTCACAGCCCAGCACTTTTCATACAGAATCACCAGGATCCTTAGCATTTACCCTTTGTTGTTGTTAAGTGTCTTCAAGTCAGTTGGGACTCATCATGACCCTAGATAGGGTTTCCCAGGCTATAAATCTTTCGGGAACAAAGGCATTAACTTTCTCCTGCTGAGTGGCTGCCGGTCCCAAACCACAGCCCACCTTGTGGTTTGAAGTCTTCGTACCTCACATTGTTTTCCTTTACCTTGGTTCCTCTGTCCGGATTTACCCCATATTTAACTATAATTAACACTAGTCCAAAATCTACTTGGAGCTACTGAATTACTAACCTCAATGTTGGCAGTGGCCAGCCCCAGCTACCCTGTAGAAATACTAGGTTTTCTCTTCCTGTAGAGATTACAGCTGCAGAAGTCCTATACAGGGTCCCCATAAATCGGAATAGATTAAATGGCAGTGAGTTTAATTGCTACTCAGTGATCCCCCCTGCCTCCACCTGCCCAACCCTGGTAATTATCAAATTATCAAAGAGCGTTTCTTTCTGTTTGTAAACCTGTTCTTGACTTTTTATAGTGATGGTCTCATACAATACATAGGTCCTTTTGTGATTGATTAGCTTCATTCAGCATGATGTCCGGATGTGGCACTGTAGGGTAATGCACTAGAAAGCAAGTTCGGTTTGAACCATAATGTTGGAGGTTCAAACCCACCAGCCACTCCTTGGAAACTCTAAACAGGGTCGCTATGAGTCGATTGTGCGGATCATGACAAGCTATGGACAACATTGCGAAGTATGAGTATTCTAGAACACTTAATTGTACTTCTAAGAAATCTGTACCTAGACCAAAAAGCAGTTGTTTGAACAGAGCAGGGGAACACTGAATGTTTTAAAATTGGGAAAGGTGTG